AGTCTACCGCCCACCCTCAAGATATTAACGGAATCAAGGTAAAGATTTAATGATTTAAACTCCTTTCTTTTAGGCTTCTGTTTTTTCAGATCCAGAATTACTTCTTCGAAGTTTCGACCCTGACATATCCTTATACATGTCTCCAAAGCTAATTTCATCTCTTCGGCAGTTATAAATGTATGATTATTTCTTTCAGGTTTTGGTTTTCTTAATTCTAAAGGACGTCTTAAATATGCTACTATTCTGACAAGTCTCGTAAGTGATGAATATTTATCCCAGATGAAATTGTCTTCTGATACTACATGTACCTTTATTGCTTCTACATCTGTTGATACTGCCTTGTGTTTACTATATATATTTTTATCTTTCAGAAATCTTGGACCCTCTAACCAAAGTTTAAAATTCAAAAATTCTGATGCATAGAGACCACGCGATGCGCAATCAGCCGGATTGCTTTCTGACTGAACGTGATTCCATTGCTGTGGTTCACTGATACACAAGATTTCAGAAACTCGATTTGCTACGAATGTTTTCCATTTGTTCGGATGGCTATTTAACCACGCTAATACAATCTCTGAATCAGTCCAGTAGTACAAATTTGATTTACTTATCCCCATAACCTCGGAAACTTCGGATAGAAGTTTTGCCAAGAGAACAGCCCCACACAGCTCTAATCGTGGGACGGATACAGTCTTTATAGGAGCCACCTTAGTTTTTGCGGTCAGCAAATTGACATGTATTCCACCATCAGCATCGACAACCCGTACATATACTACCGCAGCATATGCTAATTTTGACGCGTCGCAAAAACCGTGTAAGTCAATCTGCTTGTCACCGTGCTTCATGTGTAACCATCGAGGTACTGAAAACTTCGTTAAAAAGTGTAACTCCTGTCGGTAAGTAAACCATTCTTTTTTTATTTTATATGAAACTTCCTCATCCCATGCAATCCCAGAAATCCACAATTTCTGAATAAGCATTTTTGCTACAATAATTACTGGGGCGACCCATCCTAAAGGGTCAAATAGTCTTGCTATATCTGATAATATTTTCCTTTTTGTTACAGGTTCTTGCAGCGCAGGTAGCTGAACGGAATATTGGAAAGTGTCACAGGTTCGATTCCAGGTAAGTCCCAACGTTTTAAATACTTCATCTTGTTTTATACTTATCTCTTTCTCTACATTAAGTTGTCCCTTGAACGAGTGTCTTTTCCCGATCATTTTTTCCAGTAACTCACTGCTGTTGCTTGACCACTTTTGTAAAGTGAATCCCGCCTTTGAAAGTAACTCGTTCATTTGATCATAGATTTGCATGCCTTCTTCTATCGTGTCACAACCATCATCAAATCATCCATGTAATAATCTTTAAGTACCCTTTCAGCTGCTAATGGATATTTAACACCTTCATCGTACGCCACTTGCTGCATGGATCGCACTGCCAAAAAAGGTGCTGAAGAGGTACCAAAGGTAACAGTAAGTAATTTGTAATGTTTTAGTGTAGAATGCTTGTTATCTCTCCACACGATGCGCTGAAAATCAGTGTGATGGTCAGCGACGCGTATCATTCGGTACATTTTTACGATGTCCGAGACAAGGCAAATGCGGTGAGTTCTCCAACCAATCAACAAATGTCGCAAATCTGGTTGCAAGCGAGGACCTATCATTAAGTCGTCGTTGAGAGATAATCCATTATTTCCCTTGCAGGAAGCATCAAAAACAACCCGAACCTTGGTTGTGTCCTTATCATTACGTACAACCGCATGGTGAGGTAAGTACACTGCATGCTGATTTTGTTCCTCTGATTTAGTTAGTTCTCTCATATGTCCCAGTTGTAAATACTCCTTCATAACATCTGCGTATTTTTCCTTTAACTGTGTATCCTTGGCGAATTTAGTTTCTAATGCATAAAACCGCTTAATCGCAGCGTTTCTTGTATCACCATATTGACAGCTTGGATCTTCGCTTTTAAATGGTAAGTTAACAACGTAGCGACCGTCTTTTTCTCTAGTAGTTGTAGCTTTAAATATTTCTTCACACCTGGATTCCTCTTCGGTGAGTATATGTTTCTTGATGTGATTTGGTTCTTTTTCTAATTCCCAGAATTTTTTCAGGATTTCATCATCACCGAGTTGAGTATGCATCACGGTAATATTGGATGTATTCTGAGAAGCAGAAGTAACTGTACCCGATAAAATCCATCCCAATGAGGTAGCCTGAGCTACAGTGCTGCCATCAGGTGCCTTTTTGAACCCGTTCTGCAAAATCTGGCTATAAATTTCTGCCCCTAACAACATATCAACTTTATCTGGTTTGTGATATCTAGGATCCGCTAGTTCAATGTCACTAACTTGAGCCCAATCTAAATATGACGTTTCCCTACCCGGTAATAAAGACGTTAAAGATTTGAGAACGTATGCTTTGACTACAAGTTCATATGACGGATCAATCCTAGACTGAATTTTGACCTCAACAACCGAATTTAATGCTAATTTGTTATGAACATTTATGCCAGTAATTGAACCCTTGACCGCTTTTTTACGCAACCCTAAACTCTGCACAGTACGCTCTGTAACGAAAGACGCTTGTGAGCCTTGATCCAATAGGGCTCTGATCGTAAACCAACCATTTTTGGATACAGCCCTAACCAGCGCTGTGGCCAGCAAGACCTGACTACTCACTCCACTTTTTGAGAAACAAGCTACTACCTTGTTTTGAGATTCCACTTCGACTGTGGTTGAATGTGCTTGTGTTGATGAATTTCCCTTATCACCAGCACATTCCTGCTCATTTTTAGGGTGCAGTAAAGAGTGATGTCTTCGCTTACAGATTTGACACGAAGCTGTACATTTACATAATCTAGCAGAGTGGTTGTACCCCAAACAATTAAAACATAAATTATGATCCTGGACAAACTTACGCCGAATATCCACATCCTTATTAACAAATTCTTTACAATTTCTTATTTTGTGTTCGTTACTATTACAAACTGGACATACCTTGGCTGTATTGGCCGCTGTGTGAAATACCCTTTCCTTGGCAACACTGTTCTTATTTGACTTAGTACCTAAAAATTCAAGCGCCCTATAACGGCTTGTTAAGAACTCTTTGAGCTGTCCGAATGTAGGCAACTCATCTGAATCTATATTGCTGGTTACCTTTAATTCCCAATCCTTTCTGCTGATAGGATCTAATTTCAATGCTACAATGTGAATTATTATAATGTCCCAGGAAGTTACATCAATATCCAAATTCATTAACGCATTTAAGCAATCTGATGTTGTATCCATCAATTCCTTTAAAGCACTAGCTGACTCTTGCATAATATTTTTCTGACTAAGTAATCTTGCCAAAATACAATGCGATAAATATTTCCTATTGTTATATCTGGTCTCCAATTGAGTCCAGCATCTTTCATAATTAGATTCTGAAATTGGTATATGACGGAGGAGCTGTTCGGCTTCCCCAGTCAAATAGCTTTTTAAATAATGCAATTTTTGGACATTGTCAATAGTGCTATTCTTGTGAATTGCTGACACAAATAAATCACGAAAAGTGGGCCATTCGGTATATTTCCCCGAAAAAGTAGGAATCGTTATTCTCGGCAACTTAATAGTTATGCCTTTACCAGGTGAATCATTATTTGACGACATAGCTGAAGGAACGTCACTATTCTTAAATTTACTTAATGCGGTTTTTAATTCGCATCTTAAATCTAAATACAATTCTTCAGTGTTAAAATAGACCTCGTTTACAGTATAAGGTGAAGATGTTAACTCCTTATAATCAAAATCCTTAACCATCTGTGTATGTGTTAAAGAAAATTGTGTCCATAACTCTTCAATATTTTCTAATCTAGTTTCTAAATATTGTAAAGTAATCCTATCTTTAGGAGATTTTTTAAAATTACTTTTAGCCCTTGACAATCTGACGTAAATGTCATCTTGCACCTTAACATGTGATTGCAAAGACATTTTGAAGCACAAATAAAAGATTCAACACAGAAAAAACAAACAGATTTTTAAAAATAAAGTACAAGTCTATTATAATCAGCAAATAGTTTCTATGTGTTTGAAATGTTAGAAAATTTTACAAGTCCATGTAAACATCAAAATTTTTCTAAGTGTTTTAAACTTAGAGAATCTAGTAAAAATCGGGCATAGGTTCCCCGTCTGAACAGAATTTGCCTTAAATCTAACTAAGTCTAACATGCACACATAACAATTATTCTAAGTCCAAGATTTTTTCTAAGTTAAAGTCTTCGAGGCAATAAGGTTTACTTTTGCTTGACTCGAAATAATATATCACAAAGTACTCACGTTTTTTCGCACTATCACTCACTTCCTTACAGCTTGCTTGCTGTTGATGCCAGCGCCCGCCAGGTGGCGCGCCGATCTCAGGTTTGATGCTCAGCTACACTGGGATGCCCGTATCCACTGATGTCCAGCTCCGGAGTCCGCAATCCCACATCCGGAATTATCCGAACTGCAGTGGCGCCCTCTGTCGGCGACACTGGGAGCACTTCAGTGGCAATCCACCACTGGTTTCTGTGCTGCTGATACCCAAAAACTTCGAGAAGCGTTATATTTATGACGCTTCATCCGGCTCGAAGGACCATGGATAACCCTCGGTATCGTAAGGGTTAAGCTGGGGGTTGATTTGAATAAAAGTACTAGGTAGTGGTTACCGAACACTTGTATTCCGAATTATTGTACAATGAAGTTTTCATACAATAGCACGTGACAAATTGATACCAACATTCAAAAAAATTCGTTGGACCCTTATAGTATTGCCGGAGAATCTTAACACCGCGATTCAGAAAACGATCTCAAATAAAAAGCGCCATCTATGGACGCAAGTTAGAACACTTGTTTTCTGAACCGCGGGTTTCTTAATGTCATTTGCTTGACGGTTAGACACATATACTTCAAATAACCTTCAGTTGCAGTAAATTGTATAATAGATTCTATGCAAGATGAATAAAAGTGAGCATTTTATTTTACAGTTTGAACTGGATTGGTATCGGACTCGTGGTCCTCATCCTGAACGTGGCTGCCAATGATGAGGAGGAACACAAAGCTATGGTGAAGCGACAAATCAACAGTGTGCCTTTAGTTTATCCGCAAGGAGGTACTTATAAGGTATAAAATACATTGTCTTTTTATAAAATATACTGGGTTCAAGATTTTATTGACTTGATTTACGTGGTTTTAAAGAAATCTGTCTTATCCAAATCTGATATTAAATCGAACAGAAAAGTTCTTACATTGGTATTGTTACACACCTTTCACTGTTCTGAGATATTATTAAACGGAATCCTCTAATTAAACTCTAAATCTCAATTAATACAGTGCATCTATAATGGAGTATGAGATACATGAACTAAACTTCTATGACCATTGGTTGGTTGAGCTGTTGTTGCTTTCTTTGTACTGAATCAATCTGTACTTAACTAATATAATTAACGCATTTCAATAATTTTCCAGTTGATTATCGGTTTATCAGCACCGATTAAATCGGAGGACTACGTGAGTCTGGCCTTTGCAGCGAACTTCCAGTACCAGTATGTGCAGTTCCAGAATATAAGTGAACTGTCCCAGTACTACTTCATTAAGACTGTGTCCAGAGAACAGAGAGAAGCCGAGATCGCTGCTAGAAAGGATGAGAGGCTCACGTTTTATACTGCTGTCGCTGATATGTTGCGATCGTGAGTTGGTCTTTTGACTATTTATATTTATTTAAATAAGCCTATTATTTTTTTAATGTGGGAAACTCATTGAATGACTGCTCCCGCCTAGGTGAGGCGGGAGAGAGTGTCAGACTCTTACTGACTAAAAACCAACCCGTTCCTTCTCCTGCACGTCGAGCTGGAGCCCCGGTAACCCGTTAGGTTCTCCGCGACTCCAAATCGGCATCGGCCCTTTGGGCCCCATCTGTGGTGGTCTGATGGCTCTTTGAGGCGCGCGCGGAACGCGACGCCCCGTACGCTCGGGTCTGTTTCTGGTCGGACGGGGAGCCACCCATGCTCGCCGTCCGCAGGCCCGAGCTTACGGTGGCCAGAGATTGTCCCGCGATCCCCGACGCCCGGTGTGTCCCTTGCGATGGCTGGGTTGCGAGGAGGCAGCGCTTCGCTGCCTCACGCGTCCCGCCTCCTCCATAGCTAGCATAAATAAGCCGATTGGGATCACGTTTGATGGGTATGGGAGGACCTATAGTAATATACTAGTGTATTAAGCCTATCTCAAAAGGCTTAATACACTATTTAGCAATACTGACCTACTTTTACACAGAAGCGGGCACACGTCACATGCATCCATGTTTTTGTCTAAATAGATTATACTGTTAAGCAACTCAGCTAGCTAAATTATTTCTCTTTTTTAATGCAAAAACTTCACATTTTGTTATTACTTTATTAATTCAGTTTATGGTCTTTTCTGTTTGGACCTTACCCAACGAAAGGATATAACTTATGATCCCTGTCTTAGCACTTACACTTCAACCAGTGTTGAAATATTATATGGTTTACCATGTTTACATTAATACAATTGGACATTCCAGGAAGGGTATAAACGGTGAGGAGTGTGTTTACCGAGCGATCTGTGAGGCTGCGCAGTATCCTGTTGAAGAAGAGGGTTTAGTAGGAGAGATCATACATATACTGCTCACGTAAGTAGAGAGTGATTTTGTTACAATAACTATCGTGAGACATACTAACTAAAAATATGGGTTACTCACGTGAATAAACTGAGAAAAGCTCAACTAGTTCGAGCCACGCGATATCGCCGCGACCGCGCACGCTGCTCATGAGGAAGATTTCCTCTATGGTTTGATATATTCACGTGAGTAGCCTCGATTTTTTTTGTTAATTTCGAGCGTGATTGTCTACAGAGCGCGATTTATTTGGGGAGAAAAGAGAGTATAGAATGAGTTCCTTTTACGTTGACACTATCGACACGTTTATGACGTTCGGCGCTCTGATTGGCCAGCTTCAAGTTAACTAACCAATCAGAGGGTCAAACGCAGTTATATACGTAAAATAACTCGTAATTAGCAGCCAGTATAGTTGACATTTCTTTAACATTTTCTAGTTAGGCTAGAAACTTTTTGTTACAACATCATGGAATAAAAGGTTTCATAACTTCAACAATGACTAAGGATCAGCTTAGATTTTGGTTTTAAGGGAATATCTTATTAAACTCTAGTAATTGTTACGTACATGTTCGCATTGCATTGTAAATGAAAGCAATAAGTATTAAAAGACAATTAAATTAAATATTTTTAGTGCGAGATAAAAGAACAAATGTTTCTATAATATAACATTGATTTAAACTGTCAAACACCAAGCGGTCACCGGTGACCGCGACCTATTGTTCTTTAATTGTGTCTATAAAACCGGTACTCGACGAGTTAATATAGTTAAATCTTAAATCACTTATGTGCAATTTCGTTAATTTTTATAATAACTGGTTTCTGTAAAGTTGTTTTCCTGTATTCTCATTAAATGAAGTGATAAACTCCAATCAGTAAATTCATGAAAGTGTAATCAGATTACTTGACTGTCATTCACCGCGTCGGGCATCGATCCCACTCTCGCCATAATGAATATTTTACACTTAATTACATATCGGCTAATTAAATTGCGTGGAAATATGACAGCAGTGATAAAATTAATTCATGAAAATAACCGAGGTAAAAATATGTTTTGGGAGTAAACGAAAATATAATTTTAAGTGTTGTTCACGAGATCAACTGTTGTTGAGACATTGGTTTTTATAATTCCATGATTCATTATATTTCTGTAATGTTCGGAGTTTAAAAGAAAACCATTTCGTTCAAGTGTCGTTTATTGAATGCCAAAGAAATACACGTTAAAACTAATTACATATAAAGTGCAGCGTCAACATTGCTTGGAGGTATGTTGCAGTCAATAATTAAAAGTCGAACCGTGTCGCTGTTAAACTATAAAATCATCGCATTTCAACTCCCCCGAAAAAGTACACACTTCATCCCCCTTATAAAAGGAAAAAAAAATGAAGGCTGCAAACAATGTTGACTACATTTTTTTTTAAACCTTATTAGATTGTTACACATACTTAAACTAAGCTTATAAGTAAATTACAAAATAAAATCAATTATGAAATAACTTTGTATTATTTTTATGCGTTACATATTCCTTATTATTTTTTATAATTTTCACATTTGGTGCAAGATCCTCAATGACTTTATATGGTCCACTATAAATTTTGTCTAATTTGCTACCTACTTGATTTTTTAATAAAATTAAGTCTCCTTCTTTGTAAGTTATAGAATTAAGTTTTTTGTCATAAGATTTTTTTCTAATTTGTTTACTTTGAACAAGGTTTGATTTTGCATCAAATTGTGCCTTTTGTAATCGAAATTTTAACTCTATAGGATAATTTTCATCATTATAAACAGGATCTACTGAATTAGTTTGCAAATTTGTTGGCAAGTGACATAGTTTTCCAAAGACGAGCTCATAAGGCGTATACTTTGTCTCAGTGTGTACGGTAGTATTATATGAGAAGCACCAGTATGGCAACCATGTGCTCCAATCTATACTAGTACTTTCGCACTGCATTCTAAGAAATGCTCCTAAATTTTTATGGGTATTTTCTAAAGCACCAAGTGTTTGATGGTGATAAGCCGTGCTATTGTATTTTTTGATTCCTAACAAACTGCAGATTCCTGTCATGATCGACGACATAAATTCTGTCCCCTGATCAGTTATTATTTCTTTAGGTAACCCATAACGCAAGATAAAATTATTCACAAAAGATTTCGCAACTGTCTCCGCATCTTTTGTTTTTAGAGGATACGCTTCCACATACTTTGACAAATTGCATTGTAACGTTAGAATATATTTATAATTAAAACTATCTACTTCTATTGGGCCCATTAAATCTAAACTTAATCTCTCGAAAGTTGAGTTTGGTGTGGTGGTAATAAACATTGGTTCTCGAATTTGTTTATTCGTAAACTTTTGAACCTGACATTGTTTACAGGTTTTCACGAAGTTAGTGACGTCACTGGACATTCCTCCAAAAATAATATTTTTTAATATTATTTAACATCCTATTTACCCCCGCATGGCCGCTAGTAGGTAATAGATGAAAATCATTTAAAATAATACGTTTTTCATCTTTATCAATTATACGTTTCACATCTCTAGTAACAAGAAAACGTGGTACCTTCGATGCTTTCATTTCCTTTAATAAATATTGAAGTAATATTTTATTACTTTCATTCTTTACAACTACGAGCTCACAAATGTTTAATTTTGAGCATAAATATTCTAGTTCTCTCGCTAACACTTTAATAGTTGATAACGATCGAGAAAATAGAATAATACAGCATTGCGAAGGTACGTATAGACAATTACCAGACTCTTCAGATACCGTTTCTAATTTTAATAATTGTCTTTTAAAATTGTCATTAGAACTTATTATCAGTTCAATTACGTCATTGGGTTTTTTGAGAATTTCCACCACCTTTGGTTGATCAGGCCGCGTAGTAGTGGAGTCTCCTAGCGTCAAGTCCGTGTGTCTGTTATCTACTTCGGGTTCTAACAACTTTCTATATTGCGCGCGCGTCATAACCGATATCACTTGCTGTCGCATTTCTTTTAAATCTTTACAGCTTAATGGGATTCGACTTAATGCATCTGCGGCTGCATTAAGGCGACCTGGTACATGCTCTATATCAAATTCGTATTCCTCAAGGTATAATCTAAATTTAGTTAATCGGCTAGATGGATCAGACATTCCAAACAAATAAACCAATGGTTTGTGATCCGTAAGATCCTAAATTTTCTTCCATATAAATACGGTCGAAAATGCCTAATTGCCCATACGATTGCTAATAATTCCAATTCAATTATTGGATATCTAGTTTCTGCTGGTTTCAAACTCCTACTCGCATACGCCGGTAAATGAAAAACGTCTGCGTATTTTGCGCAAATATTTTCTATGCATATTTGTTCCTCTTTATTCAAATACGAACTCAACTGTAATAAACCAAATAACGTCTTTACGCGTTTTACCGAGACTCGTTCTTCATCAAAAGAACACGCATCAAAATAATTTAAACTATATATTTCAATGTTATGAAAGTTCACCTTTATTTCCTTATTGGTTATATTTAATATCCGTAATGGAATTTGTCCATTTTTTAGTTTAGCAATCATGCCCGCGACAAAAATGCCAGGATGTGAGGCTATTTCTTTAGCTAACACCACACAGTCACTACATAATGAAGTTGGAATATAGCGTACTATTTCACAACGAGGTGGTATAACATGTGTGTAGGTACCGTTACCTAAGATATTTGTTGTAACTAACATATCTCTGTTTTTCAAAGACAGTGTGCAGTTATCAAAATTTATAACTTCTTTATATTTTTCTAAAAACTTTCTCCCTAATATCGCATCTGCTGCGCAAGATAAGCTTCTAAAAACATAAAATCTATCCGAGAAAAAAGTTCCTTGACATTCTAAGTTTAAATCAATATATCCTTGAGAAACTAAATTACCGGTTACCCCTTTTATTACTATTTGCTCCTTAATTATAAATTTTAATATTTCAGGTAATTTGTTTTCTAACCATTCAAACTTAATTACACAAAGACTTGCCCCGCTATCTGCAAGTAAATTAATAAGTCTATTAAATAATCTACATGTTATAATGCTATTACTATTATAGTTATAAACAAAATGTTCAATTTGTTTCGCCACGAATAAACTCATTCTCGGTTTCGAAATTATTTGAAGTTGCCTCACTTTGGATTTGTGCATTATCTTCCATGTGAGTCATTGATGATTGATTATAAGAAATATTCCGCGGATTGTATCTTGCGAAACGTCTTCGCGGATTCCAATTGTTGTTCCTCCACACTTGTGTATTATTGCGCAAATAATTATCCGTATTGTTATTGTTGTCATTGTTGGTGTCTGAGTTTTTGCAACTGTTGTTATTTGAATTATTATTGGGTAATCGTTTATTAATGAAATTGGGACCGCGATTAAAGTTCTGCGAATTCCGCCTATAGTTTGAGTTGTTGGGACGAGACCGAGAGTTTTGGCTATTTCTTACCTGCATGACTTCACTTTCAGGAGCCATAGAACTCTCATCAATAGCGGCACGAATAGCATCTGGAAGTGACTGAAATTGTCTTGACGCTATTATTGTACTTAATCGAGTATCCGCAAGGCCATCGGCGAAACGCTTAATAGCTAATTTTTCATTAATGGGGCGAAGAATATTATATTTCTCACTGTCATCGTCGGCTTGTGAAACTGTCAAATTAACAAAAAGTTCTTCTAATTCGGAGCCGAAAGACTCTATAGAACGATGCCCTTGGTTTGCTCTATGTAACTGTGCCTGAAGGGCGACGGATGATTTTTTTTTGTAATAAATGTTTTTTCATGTCTGTGAGCAAATCTTGTACACAGGAGTATGACGTATTCATTCTTAACTTTGCACTAGCTGATAATCTAGTTTTCAAAACAAATTTAATTAATTGATTGTTCGCGTCAGTTGTAATCATAGAGCTATAGAGATCTATGCCATCTATTAGTTGTTTGGTAATTTTTTCTGCTCCTGTCATAACAGGTAACAGGGAGATGGCTGTTTTCATATCGAAATTATCTAATGTCATGGTAGTGGATTGTGAAATTACAGTTGGCGTTGGAACTAAAGAAATTATTTTACTATAGATCTTAGTAATTTCGTCTACAGTTTTATTTATTATGTCTATGTCTGTAGACTTTATTTCTGATTTATTTAACTGTTCGTACACTCGAGACAAAGTATTATTTAATTTTTCATAGGCACACTTAGCTTCATTTATTTTCTTGTATCCTATCTCTTTTTGTCTGCGCTCTCGACCTATCTTAATTAAATAGTCATAAATGGCTTTCAACGTTGTTTGAATTGCTATTAACTCATTTATCATATTACTTAATAAAAGGATACCGAACAAAGTTGCATCTTCTCAAATTGATGGAGGCTGGCGTCGCAAAATTTTCTTTCCCTTGGCGTTACTCGGCAGGACCTCGACTCGACGCTACTTGGCTGGAACTGGGTCGGTCTTGCTGCTTGGGCCGGGATAACCCTGGACTCCGCTGGATGGCCGGGATTTCCCTGGCCTGGCTTCTTTTTTCTTAGGCTGGTGAAGACGACGGTAATGACGAGGACGGCGTCAATTGTAGGGTAGAGGTGGTTGTTTGCAATAGGTGCCGATTCAACTCACGACGCAGTGTTTTAACTATATGATGGTGGCACTTCTTGCTTAAGTAGTAAATGAGCGAAGAGGCGACGAGGACAAGGACCACAATCATCAAAATTTCGCCGGTGTTCAGCAGTGAGGAATGCTTCTGCGTGGCTTGGGCATCACCACTCGCAGTTTGCGCTATCACGACTTCGTCTTTGCTGTATGACTTCCCCATTAGATAACCTTTGTTTCACTTCTTTATTGAATTTCTTCTTAATTGCTCTTCGTGTTAGTTTATCTTCCTATGGGTTGTAAGGTTCGATGGCAGCAGATGGCAGTATCTAATATTGTACTCGTGCGCAGCGCTGCCCGTGTGGCAGCACTGGCAGGGTCGCCATGTAATGTTCGGAGTTTAAAAGAAAACCATTTCGTTCAAGTGTCGTTTATTGAATGCCAAAGAAATACACGTTAAAACTAATTACATATAAAGTGCAGCGTCAACATTGCTTGGAGGTATGTTGCAGTCAATAATTAAAAGTCGAACCGTGTCGCTGTTAAACTATAAAATCATCGCATTTCATTTCCATTCGCAATGAATGACTGACTGATGATGTCGTTGACTGTACGGTTGGCGCGGTGGTTAGCAACTGGCTGCCGCGCAACGCGTCGTGTTTTTCGATTCCCGCATGGAACAACTCTTTGTGTGATCCACAGATTGTTGTTCTGCGTCTGGGTGTCATGTGTATCTGAACTTGTCTGTTTGTACACGCCCCCACGACCCAGAAGCAAATCCTAGTGTGGGGCAAGAATAAAAAAAATAAAAATTATTTAATTTCCTATATGTGGCACGATAAGAAATAAGAAAAATAACTTGCTACTTATTGGATACTGAAAACCTATTGATACTGAATTTATAATAATGATACATACATCTTTTGTAATGGTAATTGGGCACTTAGTAGATCTATATTGCACTACAAAGCTTAACTGTTAACTTTTGGAAATTATAAAAGGATTTATAAAAATGTTATGGGGTTAAAAAAAATCATCATCAATTTATCAAAAATCTAAATCATTTAAAATCTACATAAAAAAAAATAATGAGAAATTATGAAAATTATATTAAGACAAATATATTCCATAAATTCCAGGCCAGACTATGGAAAGACAGCGTTTGATGACAAGGACGAGGACCTGGACTATCTGATGGCGTCCTACAATGATGCGGCTACTGCTGGGCGGCAGATGTTCAACTGTGCTTCCATCTACTCCGGATGTCCAGAGGGCCAGGGTCTGATGGAGATGTTCAGCGTGCTCAGAGACGAATAAAAAGAATTATGGTGAAAGTGTATTTGAAAATAAGTACATTAAGTTTCAAACTAGTGGCTTTTGGATAGAAAGAATTTAAAATATGTTCTTAAAAATAAATGTCTGTGTATTTGTAACTTACGAGTGTCTTTATCAAATGAGCAAATTATTTGATTGTTTTATTATTATTGTAAGACAGAAATAAATTGACAATATCATCGATACAATTTTAATTTTACTGCTATGTTCTTTTACTAAATACGTAAAACTTATCAATACAAAAAATACCCTGACAATATTGTTCAATAGTAAAGTTAGTAGTATTACTATGTATTACAAAAATATACTTCAAAAACTAACAATGTAAAACAAATTTATCTCAGAAATCCTGACCGAGAAGACTGAAAATGTGGCTCAAAGGGAATGTCGGCAGAGGCAGTAAACTCGCAGTGCTGGTTATAAAGTGTCCCGGGCAAAGCCGGGCTGTTTGCCCAAACCGCTTCTTGCGACAAATTAAGTAAATCTCATATGTGAAGCCGGTCACGTAAAGGCGATCTTTTTCTTACAATATTTACATTGACTTAGTGGCGTGTAAACTATCGGTTCTCGATTACACTTGTTAGTCAATTCCTTGTGGCTTTTTGAAAATGTGTTTGGGAATATATTTATGTTAAGCTTGGTTGGTTTTGGTTTAAGCGTCAGTTTAGCAGTTTCTTTAATAGATATTTTTCCTTAGATATACTAAATATAAACAGGACTTACTTTGCGGGGATTAATTATAAGGTAATACTACAGGAGATATAGAAAAATACAAAAGTATACATATAATTTTTGCAATAGCGGAATTAAAACTAGATATTTTTTGCTGTCAAATTAGTTGTTTTTAGTAAGTTTTTTTTTAGGAGGGAAAATTATTGAATGACTGCTTCCCGCCTGAGTGAGGCGGGAGGGAGTGTCAGACTCTTACTGACCAAAAACCACCCCGTTCCTTCTCTTGCACGTCGAGCCGGAGCCCCGGTAACCCGTTAGGTTCTCCGCGACTTTCGTAAAGTTTAGAATAACGATTCGAAATGCCATGATTATTTTCTGAGTTTAATAAAATAACTTTGCTTTTTCCATAGCCAGAAACGTGTCGTATTCATACATGTATGTGTCACTATACACTCTCTACCATACTATACACATAATAAACTTCAATGTTTGACTAAGACCAAAGTAAAATAAATAAAATACTTATATAATTCTTAAAACTCACAATTACAGTCCAGTCGCATACTAAATCTTATTCACGTAACATATTTCTTGTCTAAATGTCGACTACTTCTTTATTCGACTAAAAATAGTGATCTTCTTGGCTCCATTAGGCAATCAGTTCAATAGTAGCCGATTTAGAATTCGTGAATTTATTGAGTGGTCCAGTGGTACCTAAACGGATTTATTTTGTGCTTACCACGCATTTGGCTTTCATTAAACGAACCGTCGGTGTAGACAGAGACAAAAGATAAAGCTAGGAAAGAAAAAAAGGGATGACATGTCTTTTGGTATTTGCATAATATGGTCATGAGAGATAATTTTATGTATTTTGTATGAATTTAGATAGAGACATACATAGATTAACGTTACTATTTTTTTAGGATTTCGATAATGTACAAAATGCTCCATGCTTCTAAAGAGTGGCGCTGATCGGCCTACTTATCTACAAAAAATCGACGTATTTAGTTGCAATTATGTGATAGATTTGAATTTGTTTTGGTTTGTAAACGAAGTGACGGATCACAGGTAAGCAATACATTATCGTTATTTATGTATCACGTTTTACTAACTAACACCATCATTATCATCAGCCTCGCTGTGGCCACTGCTGCTGCTACTTCTCGAACGGATAATATTTGAGCATTACTCACCATGCTTCCCTACTCAAAGCGGGATGACGATTTCAAACGTATAATTAGAAAAAATAAGCCCCGGTTTCCTCCTTCACCGTTTGACAGTGGAGTCGAAATAATTTTAGACAGTACATATGACTTGGTAAAAATCTTCAAGACCTTTGTATCAAATTTCAAGCGAAGGAAGACGGGATGCAAGGCATACAATTTAATTAAAAATGTCTCCGTATCTTGTGAAGCTTATATCCGGGAACATCTTGTTAGAGTAACATAATCATGTGACGTCATTACATAGTCGTTTGTGTACTCGTACGTACATAGTTTCTTGTTTGCATTTGTTGTCAGTCACTTCAAGAAATAATTTTGAGAAAGGTATTTTGTTCTTACGTCTTTCGTCTACAATGAGTTGTTGTATGCGGTCTGTATCTCCGGAATTTCAGTGAACTGAAATGGACTATCAAACATTATATGCCGAGCAGCGAATGAGGCTTTTCGACCAGGATTTTTTTTAAAGGAATAAAATAAAAAGAACATTTATTACCTAAAATATTTACATTAATAAATAAGTACACATTAAGTAGTTTTATTTAAACAGTATCAGTGAACAAAGAAACGTCTAGGAAGGAGAACGGGCAGGATAACTGAGACAATTTGCAATCTTCCGTCGTTCTGTTGTGCCATCTATCTGTATCTGATGATTGCTGCCTGAAAAAGAAGAAATAATTTAGAAGGAATTGAAAAGAAGAATATTTCATAAAGACGGGCTTTGATCTTAAGATTAGAATATATTAACGTCACAGCGTGTCACATTTTGTAGCACGTTTTGACGTAACGATCTCCCACACCAAAACTTAGCGCCATTTTATCTAAATATTGCACCTTAATAAGAGAAAATAAAAAATATGCGTCTAATATTTTTTCATTATCTAACTAATTAGATTTTTAATTTTAATACCATGGAAACTACCCAATTGCCAGAAATTATTTTACCAGTAAACCTAAAACTTTTGTTTCAAACAGACAGCCAGTGACCCCCGTAATCATCGAACGCTGTCCATTTCACCGTAAAATTCGCTCGTAATTTCATTTAAACGTTGCAACAGGGGTCACCTAAGAACATAATTTAATTAAAAATACCATTTTATATTACCTGAAAACCATTTTTAACAGTTTGTGGTACGTTTTTCGTGGTTCTGCTATCATTTCCATCTCACAAATGGCTCGGCGTACGCAGTGGAATCCATTCAGACCGTTCCTGGGGCAATCGATTTATTTTTAGTTAATCTTTATGGTAGAACTTCATGAATTTATTTATGTGTTAGTTATGTATGTACATATTTTTTTGGATACTGATCTGTGTGTTGCGTTGTGAACAGTTTTGTAAGTAGGAGTTTTGCACATAACATGGTTTTATTTTGTTTTGTTTAATAGGTTCTTGCAACATGAATTAATTGTTCATTTATTACAAGCCTATTTTAAAATGTCTATTTTTCATGGGATACCGAGTAGGGGGCAAGTGATACACGTATGACCTGATGGTAATTGGTCGGAAGGAAAGTTATTCATAAAGATTTGAAGATTGTTCTTCTAAGATTTTTTTTCTGTGATCTATCCGTTAGAGACAATCCCTCAGATCCCGCTACCTGCTATTCGGTATTCTAAATATCATTGTGACCTTTTATTTATCATTTTGTGTACATTAAATAATTAATATCGTTCTTTTTGAGAAAAATATATATGTAGATGCTGCGCAATATTCGGGAGTGTACTGGTATCAGCTCTGTGGAACAACTTTTCCCCCTGGCCAATGACAAGAACCCATTCAAGAAGTTGCCGGCCACCCTTCAGGAATGAAGTGGCACCATAAGAAGAATATATATAGATACAAACTTACTTAGCCTGCTTCGTTGGCCGAGTTGGTTCGTTGGTTGCATGTGCGACTGCCGGGCAAGGGGTCTCGGGTTCGATTCCCGGGTAGGGCAAAGTATTACTGGGTTTTTAGAATATTCTCAGTAGTTGCACGGAGTCTGGAATTGTACCCGATATATGGCAATAGGCTCACCCCCTACTACATTGGACTCATAACATTAATAGTGAAAAGTGGGTATTACAATGTGCAGTGGCATAGTGTGCACCTCTGCCTACCCCTTCGGGGATAAAAGGCGTGATGTAATGTTAATGTTAACAAACTTACTTATCCAATAACTCCTCAGTATGACTATAAACAGTTCGTCTATGTATGAAGTGGTTCCTGTAAGGGTGGAATGTGTCAGGCGGTGTGTCCCAGTTCATACGGAACCCAAGAGCTTGCGCGAATATCTGCGTCCAAGGCACCATGTTCACTTTGAAGGTAAAACGCAGCTGAAATTAATAAATACGGTATTATTATATAGTTCATTAACCGACTTCGAGAGAGGTTCTCAGTTTGACCTGTATATATATAAGTACTAGCTTTTATCCGCGGCTTCGCTCGCGTCACAAAAGGATAAAAAGCCAATGTGACATATACCAATACACACAGCGCCATCTATACCAATATTTTTTTTTTCCCTCGGGAATATTAAATTTGTATATATATAAGTACTAGCTTTTACCCGCGGCTTCGCTCGCGTCACAAAAGGATAAAGAGCCAATGCGACATATACCAATACACACAGCGCCATCTATACCAATACTTTTGTTTTCCCTCGGTAATATCAAATTTTTCAGTGTTAAAAAGTACCCTATTATTTAATCCGGACTTCTAACTTTATGTCAGCAAAATTTCAAAGCAATCGGTTTAGTAGTTACGGCGTTAAAGTGGAACAAACAAACAAACTCACTTTCCGATTTATAATGTAAGGAAGTAAGGATGATTGCGCTGCGACGCACCATAGGCTTTTTTGTGTGTTCCTAAATTCTTGTTGTGTGTCGTAGCAAAATAAATGGTTTTTCTTTCTTTCTTTCTTTCTGTGTGCACGATTATCTCGCGATTGGTTGTACCAATGTTGATGCGGTTTTCGGAAAAGTGTTTAGTATATTAATTAACCGATTTCAAAAAAAGATAGGGTTGACGTCGGTTTTTTTAATCATAGTCTATAAAAGAATTATGTTTTAAATGTCTCTTGTTCTTCCAAGAAGTTTTCTTCAGTTATG